CTTTAATAAAGTGACTTTTATTGACATTTTAGTGAATAATATAATGTATAAGAAATAATATGTAGAGAAATAAGTGTGTGGAATAACAGAATATACTGTACAGTTTATTACAAGGTGTTTGTAGTGTAACATACAACAGCAACCCAGACAATAAATCACTTTAAACTATTAAAGATGTTCATAAAAGCCACATTTTCCAACTTTTCAAGGTTATAAGTTGTTGCAATAAAGATCAATATCCCATAATACTATTCAAAACCATAAATAAAAATTTACAAAATGCATAAAACAGCTATTTTTTACAGTGCATGCTCATATTTTGCTGATTAAAAAGGTTGAGAACATAGTACCACAGGCTTTCCTGCAGTCATGCATGTAGGGAATAGAGAAAGGTATGTTATGGGCTTGTATTGCACCTTGGCTGCCTATAAAACTGCTTCAAAAAGAGCACATTTGTTTCAAATGTGGGCCAGATGTGAGCAAAGACCTGCTGTGGGCATTTTCTCGCAAACCTTCAGCTCTGTCAGGATAATAATAACCAGCTCAAGTCAGACTTCATGCAGATGATAGATTTGTTTTTCTCTGCAGAGGTTGTACATTTATGCATTTTAAAACAGAAGCAGCTAAAAATGCCTCTTTAATCTGAAAACTTTTGACAACCTCCACATAAAACCCGTTTGGTAGGATGTGCTCTGAAAATTCATACATATTTTAATAATGCTTCCTTGAACAAAGAGAATGACACACTTTGTCATAAGCTGTGCTTTTTATTTGTTTATCATTGATGATCATTTACATGTGTGTAAAGTAGTATATTTTTGGAGATGTTTATAGGTGCAAATATTCTATGCAGTACAATGCTGGTTAAAAATATTGACATTTATTTTGATGATACACTTAAACCCAAAACACTGAATTTATTTATTTGTTTTTTTGTTTTTACAAATTTTTGATATGCTTCAGATAGCAAAATCTGAACTTATCTTCAGTTTTTTGGCACATAGGTTTCTCAAAACAGAACAAAACAAACAAAAAAAGACACACACAATAAAAAAACAAAACACAAAGCTAAACAAAAATAAAGACAAAAACAAAACACAAAATAAACAATATAAAGAACATAAAGAACATACAGCAAAACAATAAAATGCAAATAACTCAAACTGCAAAACAAAAACAAAAAAACACACAAAAACCAACAAACAATAAAACAAAACAAAACCTAAACGAAACAAAATGCCAAAAGCAAAAAACAAAACAAAAAAACAACACAAAAAACAAAAACCAGCAAACAAACTAAAAAAAATGCTAAAACAAAACGCTAAAATCTAAACCAAACAAACTAAAATAAAACGCACAAACCAACAAACAATAAAACAAAACAAAATGCAAGAGACAAACCAAAACGCAAAAAACTAAACAAAACAAAATGCAAAAACATAAACTAAATGCAAAAAACTAATGAAAACAAAAAAAAAAACGATGCAAAAATTGAAAAAAAAACGCAAAACTAAACAAAACAAAATGCAAAAAAGAAAACAAAATGCAAAAAGAAAACAAAAAACACAAATAAAATGCAAGTGACTAACCAAAACGCAAAAAATGAAACAACAAAATGAAAAAAATGCAAAAACAACTAAAATAAAACAAAATGCAAAAACAAAAAAAAAATAAATAAACAAAATCCGAAAAAAAACTAAATGCAAAAAACAATCAAAAATAAATGAAACAAAAAAGCCAAAAACTAAACAAAACAAAATGCAAAAAACAACACGAGTTGGAAAATAACACATCACAAACAAGCAAAAACTTTTAGAAGCATGATGTTTACAAAGAATGGTGGGAAAATACAAAAATAAACAAAAAAAGACTTTACCCTGTGTAGATCATCTTTATATACATTAATCCTCATGCATTTATATTGCTGTTGGTTATTTATTAACAATGTTTGAATTAAACATGAAATAAACGCAAAAATGGGTATTCAAGCATCAAAACAATAATGGAGTAACATAAAACTGAACTTGTCCCCTTTACTTTAGAAGGAATCCTATTTTATGACTTCCTATGCATAAATATAGTACATTATTACCCTGATTTACAAAACTCACCCACTAAAATACTATTCAGTCAAACAATTTGATCCATATACCATATATATAAACAAATTAGAGTATAAAAACAATATTTCTCTGAAGTGATGTTTGAGCTGTTGATGTCTTCTGTAAAATACTAATAGCATTTTATTCTAATTATAATATAAAAATGTGATCATTTAGAGCTTTTATTTTGCAACAAAATAAAAAAAGGCATGTTTTCATTTAACGTCATTATTAGATCCACAACTAGTCCCATAAATCAGAAGTTAAGTGTTCTTAAGCAGTCTCTCTACAGTACATGTTTTCCATAGCTGTATACACAGTTTGTCATTGGACTCATGGAAACACATGCTGATTTAAACCCGTGGCCATTATTAACATCTAATACATCAACCGTTTTCAAACAAATTCACAAAACCGCATTCCTTATTCATCTGTCATTTGGCAACAGTCACACGATTTCCTCAAATATTTGGTTCAAGCCGGATGCCATGACAACCGTGACATCATTCCCAAGTCCACAATTCGTCTGACGGGATGGCAGAATTGCATAATCATCCCTACAACACGGACCCTTGCTTTAACGTGGAAACCAACTTTGCCTTTGTGGTGAAAAAAAGCACCGTAGAGGGTGAGATATGGATCCGCCACTTATCAAGCCTCCGTCTGCTCATGCATTTCTTTTTTTTGCTCTGAAGCAAAACCTCACAGGCCTGTACTCTGTAGTGCACTACACTAATGTGGTATAGGAAGGAAGTGTTTTATGTTTATATATGTTAGGGAGAGCATTGCAACACAAACACTGCAGAAATATGTGATCCCGGAGCATGAAACCAGTCGTAAGAGTCTGGAGATTGAGATGCTTTATCTGAACGCTGAATAAATAAGCTTTACTGTGACGTATGACTTGTTGGGACACATATTTGGCTGAGATACAACTATTTGAAGATCTGCAATCTTGAAAAAATGCATTTTAAAGTTGTTTAAAAGAGATCATTTTAATAATAAACAATTCAGGACATTTACATAATTTCTTCACGGAAGATGAACTTTACTTAAAATTCCAATGATCTTTGGCTTAAAAGAAAATTCAAAAATTTTAACTCCATTCACCTTTTATATATATAAAAAAATTACAGTAATTTATAGTAAATACTACCATACAATAGTAAATTACTTTAATCTGTTGTGATGATTCTATAGTTGCTATGGTAACAAAAGTGCTATAGTAATTTGTTGTGGTCATTCTATAGTTGCTATGGTAACACAAGGACTACAGTCAATGTGGTGTGGTTATTCTGTTGTTGCTATGGTAACACAAGTACTATAGTAGTTAATCTGTTGCGGTAATTCTACAGTTGCTATGGTAATACACCAACTATAGTAATTGATCTCTTGTGGCAATTTCTATAGTTGCTATAGTAACACAAGGACTATAGTCAATGTGGTGTGGTTATTCTGTTGTTGCTATGGTAACACGAACTATAGTAGTTAATCTGTTGCAGTGATTCTACAGTTGTAATGGTAACACTAACTATAGTAGTTAATCTGTTGCGGTAATTCTACAGTTGCTATGGTAATACACCAACTATAGTAATTGATCTGTTCTGATTTCTATAGTTGATAAGGTAACACAGCTATAGTCATTAATCTGGTGTGATTATTCTGTTGTTGCTATGGTAACACTAGCTTCAGTAATTAATCTGTTGTTGATTCTACAGTTGCTATGGTAACGAACTATAGTAATTAATCTGTTGTGGTGATTCTATAGTTGCTACGGTAACAACAACTATAGTTTTTAATTTGTTGTGGTGATTCTACAGTCGCTATGGTAAAACAACCACTATAGTAATATAAACAGAACTATAATATAAACTACACTAAGAACTATAGTAGCTGTTGTAAAATACACCATAAGTGTAGAAAACTACAATACAGCAGTTTACTGTAGTAAAAACTATAGTACACTGTAAAATTGTGACTATTTTGCTCTACTTTAAAGTGAGTGATCCCAGTGCTTTTAAAGTGGTTAGTTGACTTTTAATGAAAATGAATGAAGTCATTGTAATAAAATTGTGAATGAATTATTTGCATAATTATGGAAATTAAGCTCAGTCAACTAAACTGTTCCAAGTTGCACTGTAAAAAATGCTGGGTTCCACACAATTCCTTCACATTGTCCCAACATGTATTGATTCAGTTAACTTAATCGCTTTTTACAAAATTTAAGTGGATTGAACATGAAACAATTAAGTTGTCCCAAACAAAAAACTTAATTAAATTGAACTAAATTGTTTTAAAACTAATTTCAAATTGGTTTAAATGAGCAACAAAAGTCATTTTTTGAGTGTACAATGGATTTACTCATAAATAAGTGGACAATTTGTTTCTTTTAAAGTAAGGTTACTAATCGCTTTTTACAGTGTACAGTATGCAGTAGTAGAAAAATAAGTGTTCCACACAATTGATTTGTGTTGAGACAACAAAGGAATTTAGTTAATTGATTAATATTTACAAATTTAAGTGTAATGAACATGAAACAATTAAGTTAAAACCCCTACATAATTGTTTAAGCTCATTTTAAGTAAGTAGCTTGAACAAACAACAAATGTCTTTTGTGTAAATACAATACACTTTACTATAGAATGATTCATCGCTATTACTATAATCTACTTGTATTTTCACATATTAGAATTTTCCAAAATATATACACGCACAAAAAAAAAAAAAAAAAAAAGATTTCTGTTGCTCTACTTATTTAATGCGCTGAGTCAACCCTATTCTTGCAGATTTTTTTGAACGGCTTAACTGTTTTATACTTCAGTTTGTTAAAACAATTACTTTAACGTAATAAATGTGTTGGGAGAGCATGAAGGAATTGTGAAGAACGCAGCATAAGACTGGTGCTTCCGATTCACGAAATTAAAACAAATGCATTACGCTAGCACGCTAACTCCTGGTGTGTTGGTGTCGTGCAGAACGTAGCCTTCAGTGTCTCTTTCGCAGGGCGTCGGGGAGCTTTTATGAGGACACAGGAGGGCACGGAAATGCCTCCGAAACGTTTCCGACAAACATGCGTATAATATAGGATTGGCGCAGCTCCAAGAGTACGACAGCAACACCACAAACTCAAATCCACGGGTGAAATCCAGAACCAGGTCCATTTGGTGCAGCGAGCAGAAGTTGAAGACGTAAAACGGCAACCAGCAGACGCCAAACACCAAAACCACCGCCACTACCATTTTGGTGACTTGTTTCTCCAAGTGGTGATTCTCCAGAGATGCTGAAGTTTGCCTGGCGTTTCTTAAAGTCACGACGAGCGCCGTGTAAAACACGATCATTATTGTGAACGGTAGAGCGAAGCCTAACACGAATGTGTAGCTGAGAAAAGCCAACCACCAAGAGTCAGACGCAACATGAGGGTCAACAGTGCACAATCCGTAATCTGCAGAAAAGTGAATCGCCATTGGAAGAACGGGAAATAAAGAGATGAACCACATCAATGTGGCGATAATCTTGGCTCTTTTTGGCGTTCGCCAACGTGCAAAGCGTAACGGATCCACCAGCGCCATATATCGGTCAACGCTCATCACTGTCAAGCAGAAAACACTTGTGAATTGATTGATGCCATCCAGAATCATAACCAGCTTGCAAACCGCACCTCCGAAAACCCATTGGTCTTGGAAGTTCTGTATAGCGATGAACGGCAGTCCGACCATGAAGAGTCCATCAGCCAACGCCAGATTGAATATATACACCGTGGTCGCCGAAGACATTTTATCCAGTTTCAAAATCGCAATGATGACCAGCGAGTTTCCAGACAGTCCCACAATGCATACTGCTAAATACAGCACGGCAATGGTGACACTGAAAGCATCAAAGTGTTGCTGGATGTAAACGTTGTTGATTATTCCTCTATCCACATCCAGAACTGATGCATTGTCCAGAAACATTCCCAAAGGCTCTGCTTCCATTTTTAAGCTTGCAACAAGAAGTGCATCCACCTGGTGCTTGAATGTTTCAGGAACCTCCCCGGTTGGTCTTCAACACAAATACGTGCCTTTAAGGGCTGGTAAGGATGTTTGTTGAAAGATTTAGACTCCAAAGCTGAAATCTACTGGGTGTTGGACCCTCCTGGTGAGATCTTATATATCCAAGTGTGTGTGTGTGTGTGAGGTTATTCGCCGATAAGCTACGCCGGCTCGTTCCAATCCGCTGTTATGAGGTTTCCAGGGTGCCATCTGTTACAATACTTTTGTTTTCATAACTAAACACTCCTGTCAGAAGGTCCTCTTTCTCTCTTTCACACACTCCCTCCGGTTGCGCTTTTCTCTCTCCACCCTCTGCTTTAGTTCAGTGGGGGGTCAATCCAAGCCCATCGACCCCCAAACTTTCCCAATGCGGATGAGTGATGAATCCCGCCTGTCTCCCTCTGCTTGTTTTAATGTGCTGCGCTCGGTGGAAGGTTATTTATTGTTTTGCATTTCTTAAATTAGTTGGTAACACTTAGGTTGGTAGCAGCACTTACTAATGCAACCCTATACTACAACACTGTTTAATGCATATGAATAAACAATGAACAATACATTCATGACAGTGTTTGTGCTCATGTTGGTTATGGAAAAAGTTGTTCATTGTTAGTTCACAGTGCATTAACTAATGTTATCATGTATGAATTTGGATGTTAATAATTCCTTAATAAATGATGAACTAATGATTAAAGTTTTATCAGACTTAGCTGAACACATCCAGTGTCAACCAGAGCAAAGTTTAGTGTTAGCATAGTTTACATTAACTCTCGTTCAAAACTGTCAAAACAATTAAAAACAAACACCGAATCCAAAACCACACAGATTCAACTTGAAGAAAAAAATCAAATGATTAAGAATCCAGATGAACGTCTTCATATTAAAGATCATGCCCTGTAAAAGCCATGAGTTTGCCATGAATAGTGATTTAAACATGTTGCTTTTAACCGATGAGTTGATTTTTACTTTGAGTAAACCTGTTAATAATTATTTAATAAAGTGAGTAAACCTGTTGCTTTTAAAGCCATTAGTTGACTTTACTTGAGTGAGTAAACCTGTTGACTTAATACAGTGAGTAAACCTGTTCCTTTTTAAGCGATTAGTTGACTTAAGTGAGTAAACCTGTTGTTTTTAAAGCCATTAGTTGACTTGAGTAAACCTGTTCCTTTTTAAGCGATTAGTTGACTTAAGTGAGTAAACCTGTTGACTTAAAACAGTGAGTAAACCTGTTGCTTTTTAAGCGATTAGTTGACTTAAGTGAGTAAACCTGTTGTTTTTAAAGCCATTAGTTGACTTGAGTAAACCTGTTCCTTTTTAAGCGATTAGTTGACTTAAGTGAGTAAACCTGTTGACTTAATACAGTGAGTAGAGCTGTTCCTTTTTAAGCGATTAGTTGATTTAAGTGAGTAAACCTGTTGTTTTTAAAGCCATTAGTTGACTTGAGTAAACCTGTTCCTTTTTAAGCGATTAGTTGACTTAAGTGAGTAAACCTGTTGACTCAATACAGTGAGTAGAGCTGTTCCTTTTTAAGCGATTAGTTGATTTAAGTGAGTAAACCTGTTGTTTTTAAAGCCATTAGTTGACTTGAGTGAACCTGTTCCTTTTTAAGCGATTAGTTGACTTAAGTGAGTAAACCTGTTGACTCAATACAGTGAGTAGAGCTGTTCCTTTTTAAGCGATTAGTTGACTTAAGTGAGTAAACCTGTTGACTTAATACAGTGAGTAGAGCTGTTCCTTTTTAAGCGATTAGTTGATTTAAGTGAGTAAACCTGTTGTTTTTAAAGCCATTAGTTGACTTGAGTAAACCTGTTCCTTTTTAAGCGATTAGTTGACTTAAGTGAGTAAACCTGTTGTTTTTAAAGCCATTAGTTGACTTGAGTAAACCTGTTGCTTTAAGCGATTAGTTGACATAAGTGAGTAAACCTGTTGTTTTTAAAGCCATTAGTTGACTTGAGTAAACCTGTTCCTTTTTAAGCGATTAGTTGACTTAAGTGAGTAAACCTGTTGTTTTTAAAGCCATTAGTTGACTTGAGTAAACCTGTTGCTTTTTAAGCGATTAGTTGACATAAGTGAGTAAACCTGTTGTTTTTAAAGCCATTAGTTGACTTGAGTAAACCTGTTCCTTTTTAAGCGATTAGTTGACTTAAGTGAGTAAACCTGTTGACTTAATACAGTGAGTAGAGCTGTTCCTTTTTAAGCGATTAGTTGACTTAAGTGAGTAAACCTGTTGTTTTTAAAGCCATTAGTTGACTTGAGTAAACCTGTTCCTTTTTAAGCGATTAGTTGACTTAAGTGAGTAAACCTGTTGCTTTTAAAGCCATTAATTGACTTAAGCGAGTAAACCTGTTCCTTTTAAAGCCATTAGTCGACTTAAGTGAGTAAACCTGTTGCTTTTAAAGCGATTAGTTGACTTAAGTGAGTAAACCTGTTGCTTTTTAAGCGATTAGTTGACTTAAGTGAGTAAACCTGTTGCTTTTTAAGCGATTAGTTGACTTAAGTGAGTAAACCTGTTCCTTTTTAAGCGATTAGTTGACTTAAGTGAGTAAACCTGTTCCTTTTAAAGCCATTAATTGACTTAAGTGAGTAAACCTGTTCCTTTTAAAGCCATTAATTGACTTAAGTGAGTAAACCTGTTCCTTTTAAAGCCATTAGTCGACTTAAGTGAGTAAACCTGTTGCTTTTAAAGCGATTAGTTGACTTAAGTGAGTAAATCTGTTGCTTTTAAAGCGATTAGTTGACTTTACTTAATACAGTGAGTAAATCCATTGCTTTTTAAAATGATTAGCTGACATTACTTGGTGAGTAAACCTACGGCCTTAATTATTATGTCAGTGAATTATGCTCATAATTATTGAAATAAAGTTAACTTAATCATTCCAAGTTAAACCAGATTTTCACTCTTTTAAGTAAAGTCAGCTTGTTGCTTTTAAAGTAACATATTTCCTCACTTTTTAATGTAAAGTAGCTACCCGCTCTTTAACGTTTGAATGTAGTTCAACATGTCGAGTTTACATTTTTTGGCAAATGAAGATCTGCTGTAAAAGCGCATCTGACACGGGTCAAAATCACTGCTCATAAATTCTGAAAATGATTCTTCTTTTTGCTAATTATTATTTTATTTCAGTGACTGGTGTTAGTTTTAGTTCATTTTGCACTTTAAGTTAGTTTTGCTGTTTGTTCAAACTAATTTAAATGAGCTGAAATGACACATTTCTTGTTTTTTTGATGGACAACTTGCTTTGTTCAATCCACTTACATTTGTAAAAACAATTACGTTAACTTGATTAATTTGTGTTAGGAGAACATGAAGAAAGTGTGTGGAACCCAGTGCTTTTTTTTCCATTTACCCTGAGTGACTTACTTTATTTCAGTCAACAAAAATGTTTATAATGCTTTTACGACTTTGTTTACTAATGACCTTTCGGGCAACACGGTGGCTCAGTGGTTAGCACTGACGCTTCACAGCAAGCAGGCCGCTGGTTCGAGTTCCAGCTGAGCCAGTTGGCATTTCTATGTGAAGTTTGCATGTTCTCCCTGTGTTGACATGGGTTTCCTCTGGGTGCCCTGATTTCCCCCACAGTTTAAACACGTGCTCAATAGGGGAATTGATGAACTACGTTGACCGTAGTGTGTGTATGAATGTTTCCCAGTACTGGGTTGCAGCTGGAAGAGCATCCACTGTGTAAAACATATGCTGGGTAAGTTGGCGGTTCATTCCACTGTTGAATAAAGAGACTAAGCAAAAGGAGAATGAATGAATGAATGAATGAATATAACCTTTGTTTCTCACTGATTGTCTTTGTTTGTTGCCGGGTGAATCATTTATCACACACACACACAAGGCCTCGGTGGGTGGAAAATGGTCCAGATGAAAGGCTGAGAGTAATAAATGATGATGATCTTAGTGCTGTTCCTCCTCGGACACGCATTGTTGAAATACCGCAGATCAGTCTCAGTGTGTTTGTCTCCAGAGATGCTGGAAAACAGACCCCCGCGGAGCTGAGCCTTGCAAAGTAACTATTACTGTCATTCGATTACACTCTAAAGAATGTCCGGAAATGAGCAGCTTTCCATATTTTGTGGTTCATGTTTTTATTTTTCCCAATTTAGTTATTGCATTATGGGAACTTTATCTTTCTTTTAACAACTTTTATTATTGAAAATTTAATTTATTGACATTTTTAATAGTTTAAAGTGCTAAATTGTCTGGGTTGGTGTTGTATATTACGGTACAAAAAAAACTTGTAATAAACTGCCAGCGCATTCTGCTGTTTTACTGTCATATTTCTATGCATTTATTTATATTTCCTGCTGCTATAACCAACTATTCCAGCATATGTTTTACTCAGTGGATACCTTTCTAGCTGCAACCCAGTACTGGGAAACACCTATACACACTCATTCACACAAGCACTCATACACTATTGCCAATTTAGTTGATCAATTCCCCTATACTGCATGTGTTTGGACTGTAGGGTAAACCGGAGCACCCAGAGGAAACTCACGCCAACACGGTGAGAACATGCAAACTCCACACAGAAGCGCCAACTCACCTGGTCGGGACTTGAACCAGCAACCTTCTTGACTCTTATGCAATATTGTTTTGGAGGTTTTTACTTCTAGGTCCACGAAGTCATTCATTGGGAACATTTCCCTTGGCATGCATCTGTAAACTTGGGGAAAATAGGCTTTGCATGCAGGCTGAGCATGGTTAGAAGTGTTTTAAAGAGCCTCCAGTGTGTTTTCGTGTAGCTCAAGACAGGTCTCCAGCACTGGCCAATAAATCTACATGGCCAGCATTTGGTTTCACTGTTCTGGGCTGGAGTTTTGCTGTACATGTTAAATAGGAACATGCTGGAATTACCAACACCATGCTGCAATGTCTAAAAGCATGGGAAAGAAATCAAGAACCCTTCATTTAAAAGAGTTGTAAGGGGGGTAGTTCACCCAGAAAAATGAAAATGCTGCCATTTCCTCATCCTCCACTCCACTTGAGTTTCTTTCTTATAATCACGAAGGAAAATATACTGTAGGAAAAAAACAACCATTGACTTTCATAATATTTTTTTATGCCTAATATGAATGCCAATAGTTGACATTTACCAACTTTGAGAATTTTTTTCTCAGTATTTCCTATAACATTTTTTTTTCTGGAGAGTCTTATTTGTTTTATTTTGGTTAGACTTAGATTTTAATTTTTTTAAACCATTTTAAATAAAATTACCCCCCTTGAGCAATATTTGTTTTGGATTGTCTCCAGAACAAAGCACTGTTATACAATGACTTGCCTGATTACCCTAACTTTACCCTAATTACCCTAGTGAAGCCTTTAAATGTCACTAAGCTGAAAACTAGTCAAATATCTAGTCAAATATGCTGTCATCATGATGAAGATAAAATAGATCAGTTATTAAAACCATTATGATTAGAAATGTGCTGAATTTTCTCTTTGTTAAACAGAAATTGGGGAAAAATATGCAGGAGGGTGAATAATTATGACTTCAGCTGTATATAGTCACTCACAGGTCACTTTATTAGGTACATTAATCCTCAGTGCATTCACACCTATTTTGACTCGAAAGAAAAACGTATATAATTGTTAAATCCATATACATTACAATTTTCTAAGGATTTATAAATCTCAAAGAAAATAACCTTGTTTTTAGATCTTTTAATAGCAATTTTTATGATATAAACAATTTTATTCAGCTTAAAACGGGGATCACTGATGCTATTCTAAGAGCTGACGTTATCAGAGGAGAAGTGTGATCAAATAAATGAGAACAGATTACAGATAACAGGAGAATAATAACTGAGAAATGAAAACGAATTAATTAAAGAACATGACATATCAAAAGACAAAGGAACGGGAGATGGGAGAATGCTGCTTGAATATAAAAATATAAAAGTGAAACAATCTGAGAATTACTTTTATTTCAGTAACTTATTCATTATTCCACATAGAAGCATCACTGTATCAACTAGTATTTGTTTTTATTGATTTTTGTTAAGGATTTGCATGTTTTAATTAATACCTGCAATTTATTTATTTATTTGTTCAGGTTATCCGGTATTAATGTTATCAGGTATTGTAGGTAATAATTAAATTATTTGTTCAGGTTATTGGGTATTTATTTATTTTATTTATTCTTTTATTTCTTTCAGGTTTTGCAGGTATTAATTTAGGTTAATAAGCATTTACTTTTTTTTATTTGTTTAGGTTATCAGGTATTTATGTTATCAGGTATTGTAGGTAATAATTAATTTATTTGTTGAGGTTATTGGGTATTTATTAATTTATCTATTTATCAGGTATTGCCGGTATCAATTTATTAATCATCTTATTAATTTATTTTATTAGGTTATCAGGCATTTATTTATCTATTTATTTGTTCAGGCTATCAGGTATTTATTTATGTTATCAGGTATTGTAGGTAATAATCAGCTAGTTAATTGATTTAATTATTCAGGTTATTAGCCATTTGGTAATTTGATATTTATTTATTTATTTATTCATCAGGTATTGCAGGTATCAAATTAATCAATTTATTTATTCAGATTATTAGGCATTTATTTAATTATTTAATTCAATTTTTTTAAAATATTTAATCTATTTAGCTATTTGTTTAGGTTATCAGGCATTTATTTGTTTTTTTATTGAGGTATTGCAGATATTTTATTTAATTTGCCAAACTTTTCCAAATAGTCAATTAAATATAGTGTTTTTTTTTAAATATTATTTCTTTAGTGTTTATTTATTAATCAAATGACTAAAGCATAATTTTCGTCACTTGCGTATTGATTTATTTAATCAAATCAAATAAAAATAAAGATTGTCAAAATAATAATATTTTATGATGAAATGTCATTATTGCTTGTTTATTTATTTAATGATCCATCCATCAGTCAAAAAATAAATAAATCATATTTTCTGCTCATGATTTGAGATTTTCTCCATCTGGCATGTTTTATATTATTCTATTTAATGTTATTTCACTACTCGATGTTATATTAGCTCAGTGCTTAGTTGCAGCAAACATTAGTTTTACTGTTCATGTAAATCCCATGCAAAATATGCGATAAAACCTGTTGAAGAGTAGCTGACGTGTTCACTTTAAAAATCGAATCAGCCAATAGGAGCCCGAGAAGGGCGGGGATATGTGCCGAAACACAGACACGTGTACAATGCGAAGCAGGAAGTGCTTCACTCGGTGCCTGTAAACAGTAAGTTCAAGTCACTGATACTAATAATTAATGTATTATGCGGTAGAAATACAAATGAATGAATGAAAACAAACGACTAATCGCTTATCAATGCGTTCGGTTTCTGTTACGTAGCGCTGAAATGTTTAAACGCGAGAGCTGACGATAATCTTTAGCAGATAAAGTTTCCAAGAGTCTGTCAGCCTGTCGTACTTCATTACTTTATTTGTGTATTTTAGTTTGTTTATTAACTGTTATTACATTAGAAAATGCGCTTTGTTGCAAACAAATGCTTCCTCCAAACACGTTTGAAGCATATGTAGTGTTGTTAAAGTGTTTATTAGTTGATTCAAGCATTGACAGATGTTTGCATTTAAAACTGACATATTTAATATACATATTGCAGATATTATTACGTTAAAGTAATTATAAATATAAGGAGCCTGCCATTAAACGAGCCTTAGATCTATACTGTAAATATATATGTTAATTAACAGGTTATGTATTTCGTTCTTTACATTTAATCCTGTTTGTTTATGATTTTTGACTTTTAACGTTGAAAATTCAATTCTGCAATTTAATAAAGTGACTATTACTTTAATGTTAGTAGTTTGAAACAATATATTGCATATTAAATAATATATAGAGAACCAAGTTTGTACTGAAATTGTACTGACAGTTTATTACCTGGTTTTTGTATAGTAATTTACAACACCAAGTGAAAGAATATATCATATAATGCCAATAATAATCACTTTTTTAAACTTCTCAATATTAAAAGTCATAGGAGAACAGATCTGGACCTTGCAGTGAAAGTTAAAAGGATACATAAATAATAATAATAAATCAGAAATTGATAATTGAAATTGAAAATTGTTAGCTTGTGTTTTTAGTTGTTAAGTTAACCTATTAGATTGTTACAAATTTAAGTGGAAAAAAGTCTCCAAAAAGTCAAGCATTGTGTTGTTTCAGCTAATTTTATATAAATAGTTTGAACAAATAGCAAACATCTTTTCTTTTGAGTATGTAAATAACCGCTTTAATCGATATAAGCTGTGGTGTTTCATTGTCCTGTATTTGCAGACACCCTGGATAAACAGGATCTGCTCTCTCACACACACACACACACACACACACACACACACACACACACACACACACACACACACACACACACACACACACACACAAAGATATAGACACGTCTCTCTCTGTGAGTGTATTGAATGCAGTGTGTCCTGATTTTCTCCACAGACAGCATGTTTCCAGGCCTCAGTCCGCTGGTTCAGGCCCTGCTGGGGACTCTGTTCACCTGGGCGCTGACTGCAGCTGGAGCCGCACTGGTCTTCATCTTCTCCAGCAGACAGGTGAGCAGATCCTGATCTCCACAGCTGTGCTGATGCACATTAATATCATGCAGAGACTCGGAGAAATGAGAACGTTCACTCAAATCTGCTCGCTTCTTTAGAGGAATTAAGAAGATATTTTGAGGAATATTTGGTGTCATATATAGATGTGATTGAAGTTTTTTAATAGTTCCATTTTCGCTTTATATTTATATATCTATTTTTTATTATCATTATTTAAATATAGTATTTGTATTGCATATCATATATTATAAATTATATTTATTCATTCATTCAATTTTCTTCAGCTTAGTGCCTTTATTTATTAGGGGTCACCACAGCGGAATTAACTGTCAACTATTCCAGCATTTGTTTTACACAGCTGATGCCCTTCCAGCTGCAACCCAGTACTGGGAAAATTATAAATCATACGTACATTATAAAGTTTAAGTTCCATTTGGCTTATTTAATTACCATAATAATTTTAAGGTATTTTTTTTCCTAAATAATTTTTCATGTTATTATTATTATTATTATTATTATTTACACTTTTTAAGTGTGTGTGTGTGTGTGTGTGTGTGTGTGTGTGTGTGTGTGTGTGTATGAATTTTTGTAAAAAATGTTACATTTAATTTCATACATTTTTATTTAACTTAATGTATTTTATTTCCACTAAAATATTCAAGTAGCTTTAGTTATTTTAGTACATCTAATAAAAATACATGAACATAAAACATATTTCCTTGGCCAATAGCTGAAACAAAATACGCTAAAGGCTTTTTGATATTTTTTCGTTTACTTCGGTTAAAGATTATTTCTTATTTTTTCTTATTATTGTAATTTTAAAATATTTCATTTGTGGTTCCCCTCCCACCCCAAGATTTTGCATTAAATATGTTGTTGTTGTTGTGTTTTTTATATATATATATATATATATATATATATATATATATATATATATATATATATATATATATATATATATATAAAAAAAAAAAAAAAAAAAAAAAAAAAAAAAAAAAAGATAAATATATGTGGGTGGGGGGGGGAAAAAAAAAAAAAAAAAAAAAAAAAAAAAAAAAAAGAAAAAAAAAAAT